TATAATTCCAATGTGGGTACCTACTTCCCCAGTAGAATATGCCCTGTTAAAATACCTGATTATATTCTCTGCCAACATGGGTGTTACCTATAAACTCAGTAACTGAGTAATGCAAAAAAATCTCTAAGGCTCTTGACCCCATTTGATATTTCATCTGTTGGAAGTAAATATATCACTCTTGGGACTGTATCACCCTCTTTAGCATATCTGTGGGTAGTCAACAACTGCTCCTTCTGAGAGACTAAAGACCATTAAAACTAGGACTTACCAACTCCTTCATATTTTTCAAAATAAAAACACTACATTTAAAGGACTTGGATTTTTGTAAGGAAATCTATACATATATTCAATACATAGATAAGGGAAAATTATAAATTCTAGGCCTCAAAAATCTCAAGATCTACTTACTATTATTTTTAACTTGTTTGGCTGGAATGACACAGTCTTTTCAATTTTATCAAGAAAAGGAAACGGCAGCAGCAGGTGACTCATTTTCTTTGTGAAAAATAGAACTATATGAAACATCTTAGACCTTCAACTACAGGGTACCTGAGAGGATTAAGACTGACAGGTAACTGAAGGCAGTGGGTAACTTCACTAAAACATTCTACAAACTGACTAGAAAAAAAATTCCTGATCATTCAGAGATATATACTAAAATATTTACAGATGAAATAATATTATTTCTGGAACTAGTTTCAAAGTAGTCTGGTAAGGTGAGGGTTTGTGAGGGAGAAATAAGGTGAGCCACATGTCAGTAACTATAAAGCTAGATGGTGAGTACTTGAAGAGTTATTATGCTATCCTCAGTACTTCTGAATATGTCAAATTACCTCAGTAAAAAGGAAAGATACTGAGACAGACTTTACAACTATTAAAATTCACCAAACTCACTAGAATATATTTTTAAAAACACAATCTACAATTGAGTGAAGAACACATATATAAATTATTACAGAAGAACTTTGGAAAGGCGTAAGACAAATGACCTCAGTGGTAATCAGAGAAAATCACTATTAAGCAAGCATTATCTGTTGTCCACTAAGTACACAAAAAAGTTAAAGCACTGTTAATATCCAGCATTGGAAAGGACATAAAACAGCCACTGTCAAATACTGTCAGTGCAGATATAAATGAGTACCATTTGCCCTTTGGAGAATAATTCTTCAGGGTCTCTCAAATTTTAAAATGTCCATGCCATTTGACCTTAAAATTCTATTATTAACACTATCCTACATAAATATTTGTAATAGTCTTGTGATAAGGGGAAAAATGGAGGAAGGGAGGGAGGGAATTAGGGTCTAAAGGTGTAACCTAATAGTAGAGTACCAGCCAGCATGCACTGAGTTTAATCACCAGCA